CTCATTTGTCAATTTTTGCTTTTGTTGCAATTGTTTTTTGTGATTTCATCATCAAATCTTTGCCCATGCCTATGTCCTGAATGGTATTGCCTAGATTTTCTTCTAGAGTTTTTATAGTTCGGGTTTTACATTTAAGTCTTTAATTCATCTTGAGTTAATTTTTGTATAAGGTGTAAGAAAGGGGACCGATTTTAATTTTCTGCATCTGGCTGGCCAGTTCTCCCATTACAGTTTGTTAAATAGGGAGTAATTCCCCCATTGCTTATTTTTGTCAGGTTTGTTGAAGATCAGATGGTTGTAGATGTGTGGTTTTATTTCTGAGTTCCCTATTTTGTTATGTTGGTCTATGAGCCTGCTTTTGTACCAGACCATGCTGTTTTGGTTGCTGTAGCCTTGTAGTATAGTTTGAAGTCTGGTAGAATGATACCTCCAGCTTTTTTCTTTTTGCTTAGGATTGTCTTGGCTATGTGAACTCATTTTTGGTTCCATATGAATTTTAAAATAGTTTTTTTTAAATAATTCTGTGAAGAATGTCAGTGATAGTTTAATGAGAATATCATTGACTCTATAAATTGCTTTGGGCATTATGGGCATTTTCACAATATTGAGTCTTCGTGTCGATGAGCATGGAATGTTTTTCCATTTGTTTGTGTCCTCTCTGATTTCTCTGAGCAGTGGTTTGTAGATCTATTCGAAGAGGTCTTTCACTTATCTTGTTAGTTGTATTCCTAGGTATTTTATTCTCTTTGTGGCAATTGTGAATGGGAGCTCATTCATGAATTGGCTCTCTGCTTGCCTGTTGTTCATGTATAGGAATGCTTGTGATTTCTGCATGTTGATTTTGTATCCTGAGACTTTTCTGAAATTGCTTATCCGCTTAAAAAGTTTTTGGGCTGAGTCAGTGGGGTTGTCTAGATACAGGATCACGTCATCTGCAAACAAAGACAATTTGACTACATCTCTTCATATTCGCATACTCTTTGTTTCTTTCTCTTGCCTGATTGCCCTGGCCAGAACTTTCTTTTTTATTTTTTTAATATACTTTAAGTTCTAGGGTACATGTGCACAATGTGCAGGTTTGTTACATATGTATACATGTACCATGTTTGTGTGCTGCACCCATTAACTTGTCATTTACATTAGGTATATCTCCTAATGCTATCCCTCCCCCCTCCCCCAACCCCATGACAGGCCCCAGTGTATGGTGTTCCTCACCGTGTGTCCAAGTGTTCTCATTGTTCAATTCCCACCTATGAATGAGAACATGTGGTATTTGGTTTTCTGTCCTTGCGATAGTGTGCTCAGAATCATGGTTTCCAGCTTCATCCATGTCCCTACAAAGGACATGAACTCATCCTTTTTTATGACTGCATAGTATTCCATGGTGTATATATGCCACATTTTCTTAATCCAGTCTATCATTGATGGACATTTGGGTTGGTTCCAAGTCTTTGCTATTGTGAATAGTGCTGCAATAAACATACGTGTGCATGTGTCTTTCTAGCAGCATGATTTATACTAACTATGTTGAATAAGAGTGGCAAGAGAGGGCATGCTTGTCTTGTGCCAGTTTTCAAAGGGAATGCTTCCAGCTTTTGCCCATTCAGTATGATATTGGCTATGGGTTTTCCATAAATGGCTCTTATTATATTGAGGCATGTTCCTTCATTATCTAGTTTATTGAGTTTTTAACATAAAGGGATATTAAATTTTATCAAAGGCCTTTTCTCTATTGAAATAATAATGTGGTTTTTGTCTTTAGTTCTGTTTATGTAATACATTACGTGTATTAATTTGAATATGTTGAACCAGCTTTATATCCCAAAGATGAAGCTGACTTGATTGTGGTGGTTAAACTTTTCGATGCGCTGCTGGATTCATTTTGTATTTTATTCAGGATTTTTTGCATTGATGTTCATTAGAGATATTGGACTGAAGTTTTCTTTTTTTGTTCTATCTATGCCAGGTTTTGGTATCAGGATGATGCTGGCCTCATAAAATGAGTTAGGGAGGAGTTCCTCCTTTTCAATTGTTTGGAGTAGTTTCAGAAGAATTTTTTTGTGTGCTTCTGGTAGAATTCAGTTGTAAATCCATCTAGACCTGGGCTTTTTTTGGTTGGTAGGCTATTAATTACTGCCTTAATTTCAGAATTTGTTACTGGTCTATTCAGGGATTTGACTTCTTCCTGGTTCAGCCTTGGGAAGGTGTATGTGTTCAGGAATTTATGCACTTCTTCTTGATTTTCCAGTTTATTTGCATAGAGGTGTTTATAGTATTCTCTGGGGGTTGTTCATATTTCTGTGGGGTGGGTAGTGATATCCCCCTTATCATTTCTGATTTTTTTTTTTTTTTTTTTTTGAGACGGAGTCTCGCTCTGTCACCCAGGGTGGAGTGCAGTGGCCGGATCTCAGCTCACTGCAAGCTCCGCCTCCTGGGTTCACGCCATTCTCCTGCCTCAGCCTCCCAAGGAGCTGGGACTACAGGCGCCCGCCACCACGCCCGGCTAATTTTTTGTATTTTTTTAGGAGAGACGGGGTTTCACCGTGTTAGCCAGCATGGTCTCGATCTCCTGACCTCGTGATCCGCCTGTCTCGGCCTCCCAAAGTGCTGGGATTACAGGCTTGAGCCACCGCGCCCGGCCTGATTGTTTTTATTTGAATCTTCTCTCTTTTCTTCTTTATTAGTCTAGCTAGTAGTCTATTTTACTGATTTTTAAAAAAAAATCAACTCCTGGATTTGCTGATTTTTTTGAAGGGTTTTTTGTGTCTCTGTCTCATTGAGTTCCACTCTGAGCTTGGTTATTTCTCTTTCTTCTGCTAGCTCTGGGGTTTGTTTGCTCTTGGTTCTCTGGTTCTTTTATTTGTGATATTAGGGTGTTGATTTGATATCTTTCTAACTTTTTGATGTGGGCATTTAGTGATATAAATTTCTCTTTTAGCACTGCTCTAGCTGTGCCCCAGAGATTCTGATACGTTGGTCTCTTTGTTCTCATTGGTTTCAAAAAACTTCTTTATTTCTGCCTTAATTTTGTTATTTACCCAGAAGTCATTCAGGAGCAGGTTGTTCAATTTCCATGTAGTATTGCAGTTTTGAGTGGGTTTCTTAATCTTGTATTGATTGTGCTGTGGTCTGAGAGACTTTTATTATTTGTTATTTTGCATTTGCTGAGGAGGGCTTTACTTTCAATTATGTGATTAATTTTAGACTAAGTGCCATGTAGTGCTGAGAAAAACGTATATTCTGTTGTTTTGCGGTAGAGAGTTCTGTAGATATCTATCAGGTCCACTTGGTCTAGAGCTGAGTTCAAGTCCTGAATATCTTTGTTAATTTTCTCTCTTGATGATCTGTCCAATACGGACAGTGGGGCATTAATGTCTCCCGCTATTATTGCACGTGGGTCTGTGTATCTTTGTAGGTCTTTAAGAACTTGTTTTATGAATCTGGGTGCTCCTGTATTGAGTACATATATATTTAGGATAGTTAGCTCTTCCTGTTCAATTGAACCCTTTACCATTATATAATGTGCTTCTTTGCCTTTTTTGACCTTTGTTGGTTTAAAGTCCATTTTGCCAGAAACTAAGATTGCAACAACTGCTTTTTTCTACTTTTCATTTGCTGTAAAATTTACTCCATTCCTGTATTTTGAGCCTATGTGTGTCTTTGAACATGAGATGTGTCTCTTGAATACAGCACATGGTGGGTCTTCTCTTTTTATCCAGCTTGCCATTCTGTGTCTTTGAATTGGGGCAATTAGCCCATTTATATTTAAGGTTAATATTGTTATTTGTGAATTTGATCCTGTCAGGATGATGCTGGCTGGTTAATTTTGCAGACTTGTTAATGTAGTTTCTTCATAGTGTCATTGGTCTGTGTACTTCAATGTGTTTTTGTAGTGGATGGATATGGTTTTTCCTTTCCATGTTTAGTGCTACCTTCAGGAGCTCTTGCAAGGCAGGCCTGGAGGTGACAAAATTCTTCAGCATTTGCTTGTCTTCTCCTTCACTTATAAAGTTTTGTTTGGCCAGTTATGAAATTCTGGAAATTCTTTTCTTTAAGAATGTTGAATATTGGCCCCAAATCTCTTCTTGCTTGTAGGGCTTCTGCTGAGAGTTTCACTATTAGTCTGATGGGCTTCCCTTTGTAGGTGACCTGGACTTTCTCTCTGACTGCCCTTAGCATTTTTTGTTTCATTTCAACCTTGGAGAATCTGATGATTTTGTGTCTTGGGGTAGATCTTCTCATGGAGTATCCTACTGGGGTTCTCTGGATTTCCTGAATTTGAATGTTGGCCTGTCTTGCTAGGTTGGGGAAGTTCTCCTGGATCATATCTTGAAGTGTGTTTTCCAACTTGAGTCCATTCTCCCCATCTCTTTCACGTACTCCATTCCATTGTAGATTTGGTCTCTTTACATGGTCCCATAGTTCTCAGAGGTTTTCTTCATTCTTTTTCACTCTTTTCTTCTCTAATCTCTTCTGCCTGCCTTATTTCAGTAAGATAGTCTTCAAGCCCTAATATTCTCCCTTCTGCTTGGTTGATTCAGCTATTAATACTTGTGTTTACATCATGAAATTCTCATGCTGTTTTTCAGATCCATCAGGTCATTTATATTCCCTCTAAACTGGTTATTCTAGTTAACAGCTCCTGTGATCTTTTGTCATTGTTCTTAGCTTCTTGGCTTTGGGTTAAGACATAATCCTTTAGTTTAGAAAAGTTTGTTATTACCCAATTTCTGAAGCCTGTTTCTGTCAATTCATCCATCTCAGCTTCAGCCCCATACTGTGCCCTTGGTGGAGAAGTGTTGCAATCATTTGGAGGAGAAGAGGCATCTGGCTTTTGGAATTCTCAGTGTTTTTGCTTTGGTTTTTCCTCATCATCATAGATTTTTATCTACCTCTTATTTTTGAGGCTGTTGACCTTCAGATGAGGTTTCCATGGGGTCATATTTTTTAATGTTGTTGCTTTCTGTTTGTTTTCTAACAGTCGGTCCCCTCCTCTGCAGGTGTGCTGCAATTTGCTGGGGGTCCATTCCAGACCCTTTTCACATGGGTATCACCAATAGAGTCTGCAGAACAGCAAGGATTGCTGCCTACTCTTTCTTCTGGAAGCTTTGTCCCAGAGTGACACCAACCTGATGCCAGCCGGAACTCTCCTGTATGAGATGTCTTGCAAAACCTGCTGGGAAGTTTCTACTACCATTTAGTGTTTCCTAGCAGCTTGATTTTAGCACCAATGAAACCCAGAAAATTACAAGTCACCTAATGAGGACTAGTCAAATGAGAGAGACAGAACTGATAGGACTCTCAAACCAGGCTCCTGATATGGTACACCTGATGAACATTTGAATACATCAATGACAAAAGGATTTAAAAATATTCAAGCACAGCCCAGATTCACTTTATGGAACTTAAATAACACCATCTTCAAGTTTAAAATTTGATTGCATCAATAGAAAGAGAGGTGTTCACTGTTGATTACTGAATTAGTAGCACCGAAGAAGAAGTGGAGAAAATATCACAGTGCAAAACATACAGCAATGAAAAACATAAGGGAATAGTTGAGTGACATTAAGGAAAATAGGAGTTCCAGAAAGAGAAAAATGAAAGGTTGGGTTAAGACACTAATTAAATAATAGAGAAAAACTTCCCTATGTGTTAAAGAAAGACCAGTTAAAAGGACTTCACAAATTCTAGTCAGGATTTATAAGAAAATGACTCACACCTTAGTAAGGTAAAACTTTCAAATTTCAGGCATGAAGATAAAATATTAGAAGCTTCTGCTTAGGAAGAACAAGTACATTATGAAGGCAGGTGGATCAGACTGGAATCAGGCTGCTCATCTCCCACTTTGGGCCATAATAGAATGAAAGTCAACAGCAGAATTGCATCATAGTAAAATAACACCCACAAGATCTCAATCCTGACTGCATGTTAGAATCAGCTGAGGAGCTTTAGAAATACTGCTGCTGGGCTCCACCCCAGATGAATTAAATCAGAATCTCTGGGGGTAGGGCTAAGAATTGGCATTTTAACTCCCCAGGTGTTTCTAATAAGCAACTAACATTGCAATTAACATTGCAATCTTATCTATAAACTACTGGGAGGAAAAATCCTACGTCCAGCCAAGCTGACATCCATCTGCCAAGGTGAAGTAAAGATTATTTATAGATATACACATTTTAGAAAATGTATTAGTATTTATCTAATCTGAGAAAATAGAAAAGAGAGCAGATAAATTAGAATAGTCAAGATGGAAAAAGACAAAGAACAAACAAGAAACAATGGAGAGCAAAGGGCTATATAATGTCTGATGACGTCTAAATAGACATAATAGAAATGGTTATTGAAGCCTAGGAGTTTACCAAAAGCCACCAAAATAAAGGTTCTTAAAACAGAAGAGACAAATTTTGTGGGAAGATTCAAATAATAGTTTAGAATTGAAAGGGTCAAGTTACTTCAGTAAAATTTAAAAGTTGGGTTAGGCTCATGATGAGAAAGTGGAAGTAAAAGGATTCCCTAGAGGTAGAAGTGGGGTTACAGTTATATTATTCTAAAGTTCTCATCTTGTGGGTGGGACATCACGGGGAATAGTGCATTTTGGTGGAGAAAATACTTGGTATCATAGTTTCATATACATTACAGAGTGTTTTTGTTGCTGTTTTTAAGACAGGGTCTCCTTCTGTCACTCAGGCGGGAGTGGAATGGTGTAATAGCTCACTGCAGCCTCCAACGCCTGGTTCAAGCAATCCTCCCACCTCAGCCTCACAAGTAACTGAGACTACAGGCATGCACCATCATACTTGCTTAATTTTTTTAAAATGTTTCTTGTAGAGACAGGATATTGCTATGTTGTCCAGACTGTTCTCAAATTCCTGGGCTCAAACGATCCTCTTGCTTTGGTCTCCTAAAATCTTGGGATTGCAAGTATGATCCACAGCACCCAGCAGGGTCTAATTTTTATTTTCAATAAGCATTAGCATCAACACGAAAAAGTAATCATGAAATGCATGGAAAATAATATATGTCTTCCAGTATAGAAATAAAAAGCAATTTGGCCAAAAGGACAAATTGAGTAAAAGGGGATTTGCAGTCCCTTAATTTGCCTTCCTAGTTTTTAGTGTCAATGAGAAGAGTCAAACTCTGTAAAATGTTTGAAGAGATTTATTCTGAACCGGATTTGAGGAGCATGACTTATGATACAACCCCAGGAGGTCTTGAAAACATTTTCCCCAGGTGGTTGGGCTACGGCTTGGTTTTACACGTGTTAGGGAGACATAAAACCTTAGTCAATACATGTAAAGTATAAAAATTTCATCCAGAAAGGTGGGAGAAGTCAAAGCAGGGGGCTTTCAGGTCATTGGTGGATTCAAAAATTTTCTGATTAGCAATTGGTTGAAAAGTTAAATTATTATCTAACGACCTGGAGTCAATAGAAAGGAGTGTCTGGGTTAAGATAAGGAGTTATGGATACCAAGATTTTTTTCATGCAGACAAAGCCTTCAGATAGCAGACTTCAGAGATAATAGATTGTAAATGTTTCTTATCACACCTAAAAATGTGCCAGACTCAGTTAATTCTCTCCTGGATCAAGAAAGAGACCTAGAAAGGAAAAGAGATTTTCTACAGAATGTAGATTTTCCCCTCAAGAGACAGTTTTCCAGGCCATTTCAAAATATGTTAAAAAATATATGAACAGGTACAGTGGCTCATGCCTGTAATCCCAGCACACTGGGAGGCCGAGGTGGGCGGATCACTTGAGGTCAGGAGTTTGAGACTAGCCTGGTCAACACAGTGAAACCTTGTCTTTACTAAAAATACAAAAATTAGCTGAGTGTGGTGGCAGATACCTATAATCCCAGCTACTTGGGAGGCTGAGGCAGGAGAATTGCTTGAAACTGGGAGGCAGAGGTTGCAGTGAACTGAGATTACACCACTGCACTCCAGCCTGGGAAACAGAGTGAGACTCCATCTTAAAACAAAACAAAACAAAAAAACCCCACATATATATATACATATTTTACATGTATATAACATATATATACATATTTTACATATGTATGTAAAATACTTTGATTTATTTCAGGGCCTGCTGTCATGTTGGTATCTTGTTGCTACAAAGAGTCTGTTTTGTCAGTCTTAAGGTCTCTGTTTTAATATTAATGCTGGTCAGCTGTGCCTGAGTACCAATAGGAGGAGGGTATAATGAGACATGTCCAACCCCTGCCTTCCCATTATAGCCTGAACTACTTTTTCAGGTCAACTTTGGAATGTCCTTGCCTGAGAGGAGGCGCCCATACAGTTGGTAAGAGGGCTTACAATTTTATTTTTGGTTTACGTTAGTATAGACACTGCCTCTAAAGGTTGACTTTCTACTTGTGCAGTAGGACAAATCTCTAGCTAATTTAATGATGCATCTCCATAAATTTTTTTCTCTCTCCCATACGATCACTATTTCACTGTCTGCTGTATCATTCCCTTCAGCATCCAGACACGCTGTTAATTCTCCCATATTAAAAACATCTTCATTCCACTTCCCCTGTGAGTTATAGCCCTGTTTATATATACTCTCTGTTTCAGATTTGTTCCCTCCTAAATTCTTTAACTTAATCATGTTTTCTGTGCTCCACCACTCTACTAGGATCTTTGGCTAAATTTCCATATTGCTAAATTCAGTATTCAATTCACTGTCTATATCTTAAATCTTTCAGCAGCACTTAACATAAGGAATTATCCTCTTCATTACCCTCTTAACAGAAGCAATTACCTTCTTCAAGACACTCTTCCTTCACTTGTCTTCCAGGGCACCACACAACTTTGGTTTTCCTCCTCTCTCAATGGGAGTTCCTTAATCGTCCATTTGCTGGTTCTTTGTCTTTGGCCAACCACTTATCCTGAAGTGTTCCCAAGTTCATCCACCTCTTCTCTACCTATACTCATTCTTTTGGTGATCTCATTCCTTCTAATCACTACTGATTCCCAAATTTATGTCTCTGGCCAAATCTGTAATCCAAAGCCAAATGCCAACTTAACATCCATATTGGTTGTGTAATAGACATCACAAATCAACATGTCCAAAATGAAACTGGTAATATTTCTGTCTCTAAGTGCAGCTTTCTCCATCTGCTTTTTGTTAGCTCATCCTTTCTGTTGTTTTTGCCAAGTAAGTCTTCTGACCTTATCTCTTTTTACTCATCCCCTTGCTCATTTTTCTCAGTGATACCAGCACTGTGTAATTTTTCAGTTTTGTTATTCATGTCATCTTGGGTCTTTTGCTAAGCTATTTTCTCCTCCAGGACCACCCTTCTAGATATCTATCTCCATTACCAGTTTTGAGACTTTGCTCAAATACCTGATTTATAAGTAGGCCTATACTGAATACCTTATTTAAAAATATATCCTGCCCTTTTCATCACAGGATTTTTAACCATCCTTACCCTATACTATATTTTCATGACATTTTATTACTATGGAACATATCAGCATATAACATATCATATGATTTACAATTTTATTATTTTATTATTTTACTATTTTCCTTTCATTAGCATTTGCATTCCTCAAGGCCATGGATCTTTATTTGGTTTCACTACAGTATTTGTTCCAGGAACCTAGAACACTACCTGGCACCAAATAGTGCTTAATACATATTTACTTACAAATCAGTGGGGTATATTTGTAGGTAAGTAGCATGCAAAAGAATGATTCATGGGATATAACCAGAACCTAATTTTATTTTAATCTTTTAATATCTTTTTAAAATCAATTAATTCTGGAAAATCATTATCATATCCCTGCAGGAAAACTTATACATTCTCCATAAGGTCACTTTAAGGCAAACATAGTCTCAAATGTATTAGCAGGCATGAGCTGTAGGACACAGCCTGCATCTGTAGCTGGCTGCTTCTTGCTTGACTCATTTTATTTCTCGTTAGCTAGCTGCTTCTACTAACCTATCCAGGTAGCTCCATGGGAATGAGGAAAAGAATGGCAGAAGAAAATTCATACCTAACAGATGCTGTCATAGGGTAGCTTTGTGCTCTCTGGGCCTGGTAGATGTATAAATCTGGCTCTTTCTCTTTAGAGCACTTAGATGGGCTTTGCAGGAGCGTCTCTGCGGTCTCCTTAGACAACATCTTACTTTTCAAGGGAGAGGCATTCTCTTCTACTATCTGGCCTTTACTACCATTCACAAGTTTTATATTGGTTTACAGGACACTGTTGGAAAGCCACTGTCTTTTCAAGAACTTACTGACAGAAGCCAAAACAACAAGTCTACCCTCTCTTCTGTAGGTTTTACATGCACCTTGTGCTCTGTTTACCATTGGAGGGGACCACAGTGGCTTCCCAGAAGCTGCACTCTTTGCTGCCCCAGGCTACTTCAGTTGCCTTCAGCGTGAGTCACACACCAGTCCCCTTCATTGCTCAACTTCAGAGAACACATATGATGCTCGCCACGTGGTGCTATTTTAGTCATAACATGGAGTTATGAGATGGTCTTCTGTCACCTCATGCCATTCCTTTTTGAAAGGAATTTCATGGTAAACCATCTCCCAATTTCCACACACTTTACTTCTTATAGATTACTTGTTGATTTTTAGGGCTATATTTGAAATTTCCTCAAGATAGCTATCCTTCATCTTGAAGTTTTATATCTATTGTATTTTGGTATCCCAGAGAAAACTTTCAGTTTACCATCTTTTTTATATACATCTCTGTGTGTGTGTGTGTGTGTGTGTATACATATATATGTATATGTAGCATTTTGATAATATATATTTATACAGCTGGTGAAATTTGTAGATGAGCTTGGTTTGTTGTTTACATAAGTTACCATGAGTGAGATGAGAATTGGGGGATGATGCAGGCAGAGGAATGAGAAAACTGAAAGCTAGAGGGGAATATAAGAAAAAAATCAAAGTATGGTCCTAAAATGCCCTAGCACCTTATACCATTGTCTTTATAAACTCTGTGTATATGTGTGTTTGTTTACATATTAATTATAATATTTCTGTGTATTTAGAGAAAGATGTCTTAAGTCAAAAATAGATTCAGAGTACTGTTTGTAATATGATTCTATTTAGTTAAATCAAAAGAAATCTAGAAGTATATACGGTTATATGTATGCATGTGTTGATAAGGAACAACCTGTGGGAAGAGTCATATAAGATTGATAAATATCATATAAGATTGATAAATGGAATCAGAGGAATAGAAGGTACAATATCTTCCTAATTTTTCACTTGCTACAAGTAGCATGTCCTATAACTTTGTAAATTTTTAAAAATCAGTGCAGCATTACCCTTCTAACATTCTGGGAAGGCAGATGAGGAAATCACCTGTAAAATGTTACCCATCTTCTCATCCAAGTAGGTAGAAAAACACCTGCTGAATATG